AGCCTGACGCGGGGCTCGAACTCACGGACCGCGAGATCGTGACCTGAGCCGAAGTCGGACACCCAACCGACTGAGCCACCCAGGCGCCCCGAAAAAAAATTGTTTTAAAGACACTGTAAAAAAACTACAGGCCAATATCCCCAATGAACATAGATGCAAAAATCCTCAACAAAATACTAGCAAACCAAAACCAAATTCAACAATACATTGAAAGGATTATTCACCACAGTCGAGTTGGATTTATTCCAGGATGGTTCAATATTCACAAACCAATCAATGTGATATATCACATTAACAAGAGTAAGGATAAAAACCATGTGATCATTTCAATAGATGCAGAAAAGCATTTGATAAAATACAATATCTGTTCATGATAAAAACTCTCAACAAAGTAGATTTAGAGAGAACACATCTCAACATAATAAAGGTCATAAATGAAAAACCCACAGCTGACATTATATTTAATGGTGAAACTGAAAGCTTTCCCTATAAGATCAGGAATAAGGATGTCCATTCTCACTACTTTTATTCAACATAATACTGGAAGTCCTAGCCACAACAATCAGACAAAAGAAATAAAACGCATCCAAATTGGTAAGGAAGTAAAACTATCTCTATTTTCAGATGACATGATACTTTATATAGAAAACCCTAAAGACTTGACCAAAAAACCATTAGAAGTAATAAATGAATTCAGTAAAGTTGCAGGGTACATAATTAATATTCAGAAACCTGTTGCATTTCTATAAACTAATAAGAAAGTAGCAGAAAGACAAATAAAAAAAATACTCCCATTCATAATTGCAGCAAAAAGAATAAAATACCTAAGAATAAATTTAACCAAGAAAGTGAAAGACCTATACTCTGAAAATACAAGACACTGTTGAAATAAACTGAAGATAACACAAACAAATGGAAAGATATACCATATTCATGGATTGGAAGAAGCAATCTACAAATTCAACATAATCCTTATCAAAATACCAATGGCATTTTTCACAGAATTTGAACAAATAATCCTAGAATTTGTATGGAACCACAAAAGACCCTGAAAAGCCAAAGCTATCCTGAGAAAGAAGAGCAAAGGCTGCAGGTATCACAATCCCAGATTACAGGATATATTACAAAACTATAATAATCAAAACAGTATAGTACTGGCACAAAAACATACATAGAGATCAACAGAACAAAACAGAGAACCCAGAAACAGACCCACACTTATATGGTCAATTAATTTTTGACAAAGGAGGCAAGAATATGCAATGAAGACAGTCTCTTCGATATATGGTGCTGGGGAAACTGGACAGCTACTTGCAAAAGAAAGAAACTGGATCACTTTCTTATCCCATTCACAAAAATAAACTCAAAATGGATTAAAGACCTAAATGTGAGACCTGACACCATAAATTCCTAAAAGAAAACATAAGTAATAGACTCTTAGACATTGGCCTTAGCAACATATTTATGGATATGTCTCTTCAAACAAGGGAATCAAAAGCAAAAGTAAAATATTGGGTCTACAACAAAATAAAAACCTTTTGCACAGCAAAGGAAGCCATCAACAAACCAGAGAGGCAACCCACTGAATAGGAGAAGATATTTGCAAACAATATAACCAATAAAGAGTTAATATCTAAATTATACAAAGAACTTATATAAGCCAACGCTAACAAAATTATACTCTGATTAAAAAATAGGTAGGGGCACCTGGGTGACTCAGTCAGTTAAGTGTCCAACTTCAGCTCAGGTCATGATCTCATGGTTCTTGAGTTCAAGCCCCACATCAGGCTCTGTGCTGACAGCTCAGAGCCTGGAGCCTGCTTCAGATTCTGTGTCTCCCTCTCTCTCTGCCCCTCCCCCACTTGCACTCTCTCTCTCTCTCTCTCTCAAAATAACTAAACATTAAAAAATTTTAAAAAAAAATAGGCAGAGGACCTGACTAGACATTTTTCCAAAGACATACAGATGGCCAACAGACACATGAAAAGATGCTCATCATCACTAATCATCAGGTGAAGACAAATCAAAACTACAGTGAGATATTGTCTCACACCAGTCTTAATGGATAGTATCAAAAGACAAGAAATAACAAGTGTTGGTGAGGATGTGGAGAAAAGGGAACGCTTGTGCACTGTTGGTGGGAACGTAAATTGGTGCAACCACTATGGAAAATATTACAGAGATTCCTCAAAGAATTAAAAATAGAACTACCATATGATCCAGTAATTCTACTAGTGGGCATTTACCTAAAAAAAGTGAAGACACCAATTTGAAAAGATATAAGCACCCCTATGTTTATTGCAGTATTTACAATACCTAAGATATGGAAGCAATCCAAGTATCCATCTATAGATAGATGAATAAAAAAGATGTGATATATATATATACACATATACATATACATATTTATTATTCAGTCATAAAAAAAGAATGGAATCTTGCCACTTGCAACAACATGGATGGACCTGAAGAGTATTATGTTAAGTGAAATAAGTCAGACAGAGAAAGACAAACACCACATGATTTCACTTATATGTGGAATCCAAAAAACAGAATAAACAAAAAGCAGAAATAGATTCATAAATATGGAAAACAAAGTGATGCTTGCCAAAAGGGAGGGAAATAGGGGTTCAGGTGAAATAGGTGAAAGGGATTAAGAAACTTCCAGTTACAAAATAAATAAGTCATGGAGATGAAAAGTATAGCATAGAGAGTATAATCAATCATATTGTAATAATGTTTTTAAAAACCCTACATAAAAAACATTATGCTTATAGAAGCAATCTCAAGTTTTTCATTAAATTTTTGAGAAACTTTATTTGGAAGTTTATACAAATTCAATATTTAATATCCTGAATATGTTTTCTTTTCCTCATTATATTATATAAATACAAGTATTTTCACCATGCCCCATTATAGTTGCCTCCAAATCTCCTTTAAATTTATCCCAGTGTGCTATACAACTATTATTTCTATGGATGTCATGATATGAAAAAAGGTTCAGAAGCACTGCTTTAGCTTTAGATAGGACTCTTTACCTGGGGCCTCTCAATGGATTTCAGTGGGTGTGTGAAATGCGCACATATATCTTTCTTGAGAGATAGTTAATACTTTTCATAAGTTCTCAAAGCTTAAGAACCAAGTGACTCAAGAATTTCAAAAGTTCCCCTATAATTTCATCCCCAAAGAAGTGATGTTACAAGTTAAGGGTTAAAGGAATTCCAATAGCACAACTAGGCCTCCATTATCACAGGTGGGAAGAATAAAGGTGCTATAAATAGAACTAGCAGGACTTCTGTCTCTGGCTCCCTCTTTTGGGACTCCTGCTCTTGGCCTCTCTCTTCTTAAATTCAACTAACATATTAAGAGGATTCTAGGGTCTTTTCTCTGTTAGAAGTAAATACTTCCTCAGATCACCAGAAAGTACAAACCAGGGTGGAATCCAGGGAAGACAGTATAGATTTCAAATGCTCACAGTTGATCTAGCTCTGCAGCCAAAGCCTGAAAGGCAATATTGTAAAATGTATATTTGCCCAGACCTCTTCCTCTGTGTTTCTAAAGCACTTTGCACATAACTAGACTTCTCCTATATCTGTGTCTCCCTTGGGGGCCTAGCAGAGGTGACAAAATCCACAGTGCCACTCTGCCATACTGTCATTATTTGGTGTGTTTTTCCCTAACAGGTTTTGAGCCCCTGATAGACAAGACTTTTATTTTGTTTTTAAAACAGTCTCTAGTATAAAATATACACTCAGTATTTTCTCAATTAATGACAAATAAATTAATGAACACGCACCATTAATTTCCAAATCTTAGTTTCCTTAAAAGGTTATATGCCAGGAAGAGATACTTCCTCTGTAAATTAATAAATTAATTTCCTGATACAAATAAACTTAATGTGAATCTGGGTACTTTATAATCCCAACTTTTTTATAATCCCAATTTTGACCAGGATTTTATCTTCTCAGATATGTTTAATAGAGATGTTCTGTATCTTCCTACAGATGACACATCTCTTGACCACTGATCTACTTCTCTCACTGTTGAGAAAGGCATGAATCATACGTCTTTTTAGCCCTTTTTAGTCCCTTTTTGCTTGATGCTATTTTCTACACATAGGATACACTCAGCAAAAGCTGACTGAACTTGGAACAACTTCAAAGAATAATAAAGTTATCTTAATTACATACAAGGCTTTACAGATTATATAGGACTTTACCATGCATTATCTCATTTGATCACAAGAATCCTGTGAGTTAGAGCTCCATTGTAGAAACCAATGCTTAAAACGTTTAAGCCATTTGCATAAGGTTTTACAAATTGGAACTAGAAGCCAGGTCTTCTGACTCCTACAGTAGTGATCTTTCCCACTGGGAGATTAATGGAATTCTCTCATCTGCCAAAAGAATTTCTTAATATTATGTTGACACAAAACTAGATAGGCAGTGTTGCTATCCTGAGTCAGTAAGAAAATCAACATACAAGTACATTAAGACCTATTGATCTGTATAATATTTTTTCTAGAACAATACTTTGGCTTATAAACCACGTGTTTCATTTGAGTTCATTCAGCTTTCAGCTATGTATATTTCTTACCTATGCATACAGCTTCCTGTGTGGTCTCCTAAGCATTGGTTCAAAGTTCTTACTTCTTAACTTTGTCTTGTCTTTTCCTGTTTACTTCGCAGCTCTGGGAAAAACACAGATTGTTTAATCTGTGAACCATACATCTTTGTTTAATTTTTGTCTCGCAGGCACTCTTGACCACCACCAGGGGGCAAAAGCCTACCAGCTGGCTTCTCAGCAATTCATTCTACACAGGACTGTACAGTACAGGGACCCTCAGTGTCTGATTCTTGATGGAACCTCCCTGCTAATTATTTCAACCGCAGGGCCCCAGGGAGAGAACAAAGGCTCAGCACAGAGGGCTCTAGTGGCACTTAACCATACAGCAGCCAGAAGGAGCACATGACAGTCCTGTCAGTTTAAAGGAAGCAATGAAATCCAAGAGAGTTTGAGTGACAAACAGGAGGAGGTGGCTTTAATAACTGCAAACTCCTTAATGTGTGTGTTTCCTCAGTTTTGATACATATGGTGGTATATTCCAGAGAGTCCACTCAAATTGAGAAATAGCTTTGTCAACTTTCTCTGTGTAAACAATCATTGATATTTGCATAGTAAGATTTCCCCCCTTTTTAAATCTTGATTTTTAATTACTTTCTTCGCTTATGGTCTGCTAATGGTTTATCTTTTTTTTTTTTT